AGGAATCTCGCGAGCAGTTTTTCCGCGGAAGGAATATAATCGTGCAAGGTGTACCGGAATACACGGACCCTAATCAAGCAAACTCCGATATCAGGGGATGGAAATTCATCAAACAGTCCTTGAGGCTCAAAAACATACTGACTCAGCATGTGACGAGACTAGCCAAGAAGGACGGTTATTTCAGACCCCGGCTAATGAAGATAACTTTCCCATCCTCCCACATGGCAGCTGCAACTCTGGAGGCCTTTCGTGCCAATAGACGTCGGTTGCCAGCTGGAATCCACATGCACCCGGATAGGCCATATGAAGCTAGGACCAAGCACAAAAACAAGTTGGAGCTGACCATTCCACTTGTGGACTGTCTCGATGACAAAAAAACGTGTAAATGACAGGGCCTACCAACTCGGCAAACATTATATAGGTAGACTACCTGTCCATTCACGTAAGGCTCAAACAGACAAACAGGAAGAAGCTCACGCGTTTCAAATTGAAAGCATGAACGCCGCGAGTCTACCAAACAAAATGGATGAGCTACGTGAACTTAGCAATACTCATAAGGCTCATCTGATAAGAATAACTGAAACTTGGACATCCCAGTTCTCGGACCAGGAGTTAGCAGTACCTGGGATGTCTTTGTTTCGCAACGACAGAAAATCAGGAATTGGGGGTGGAGTAGCCATGTACATACGTTCTTGCTTGGAGGTACACCAAGTTCATAACCTCGAGTTTAACAATCTTGAGGAATCCATGTGGTGCTCTGTAAGATTGTCTGCTACTTCGAGGTGTCTAGTCGGACTCATATATAGGAAGCCCACCGTCGACATCGAGTACAACAGTCGTATGCTGGAAGAACTATCCCGCTCTACTCGTCTCGGTTTCACACACATCCTGATTCTAGGGGACTTTAATCTCCCTAGAATCAACTTCGCAGAACATACGTATACTGGAGGCGATAACTCATTTGAAGCTCGGTTCTTCAACCTCATTGAGGACTTAGGGTTATGTGAGGTCGGCAACTCGTTGGAGAAACAGTCAGACACCGTCGCGCTTAGACTGTGTATTCACAAACGAAGAATTCCTAGTTGACAACCTCTCAATCCTGGCTCCCCTGGGAAAAAGCGACCATGCCGTCATAGCCTTCAGTTTTGTCAGCAAAACTAAGCTAAGGTATCCCACCAATAATTTGCGTTGGAATTTTAAACGGTTGAATGTGCCAGCTCTACGCGACTATCTACAACAGGTGGATTGGGATGTTCACCCTCAACTCAATGTGGATGCTCATTGAGACTTCTTACTGCACACGCTCTTATGTGCTACGAACTATTCAGTTCCTCAAACGGTTCCCAAAAGCTGCAAGCCATCTACAATAATCAAGAACCGTACCCTTCGCCTGCTAAGCCGCAAAAGGCACTGTTGGGCGCAATACAAACGAACTGACAACGACGGAGCGTACAGGCAATATAAACATATAAGTAACATATGCACGAAGGCTATAAGAGAAGACAGGCTTTAGTACCAGACAAAGCTTATGGACAAATTTGTCTCTATTCTGAAAAAGCTTATTCCGTTATGCAGCCTCTCTTCGTCAAGCCAAAACTGGAGTTTTCCAACTGCTAGGTCTTAACGGCCCGACCAACAACGATGGCGACGCCGCTAACCTTCTGGCTGAACATTACTCTCAGACATTTCAACCGACCGACATCAACTTTACTGATGACAGTCATCTGCAGTTTCACAGGACTTTCCGAAGTGAACCTAAGCGCTGACCTGGTGTTCTGGAAACTGCAGCACTTAAGATTAGACACTTCTCCTGGTCCGGATATGGTCCATTCTGCCATACTGAGGGAAGCAGCCTCAATCCTGGCAACGCCGCTTAGCGTGATGTTCTCCCACTCGCTACGCCGAGGAAAACTAACGGAAGATTGGAAGCTGGCTCATATCACACCAATTTTCAAAGGAGGTCGGCGCAGCGAACCTTCAAGTTACCAACCGGTGGCTCTTCTCTCAATACCTTCAAAAATCATGGAGTCCCTGATATGCGATGGTATAAATGACTATTTACTGTCCTTAAATTTCTTCTCACCCCAACAGCATGGCTTCAGGAAAGGCTACTCTTGTATAACCAACCTGCTGACTGCGGTGGACAGATGGACAAGCATCCTCGATCGCAAGGGGAAGGTTGGTATCATCTGCCTAGATTTCTCAAGAGCTTTTGATAAGGTTAACCATACATGTCTTATCAATAAGCTCAAACGATTGGGTGTCAGACCACTTTTAATTGATTGGCTTACTTCATACCTGAAAAATCGACACTTTAAGGTTTAGGTTAATTTCACTTTATCTCAGGCTATGGAATGTCCTAGTGGGGTCCCCCAGGGCTCAGTACTAGGACCTCTTCTCTTCTTGATCTACATAAATGATCTTCCTCGACAGGTAACGTCAGGATTATTACTCTTTGCCGATGATGTTAAACTTTGGAGAGAGATGTGCAATCAAGACGATATACAGGCACTTCAGGAGGATCTGACTCGACTTCAAAGTTGGGCAGACGATAACGGACTTACCTTTAACACTTCAAAGTGTAAAGTGGTCCATCTGCGACATGTCGCAGACTAAAGTTATAACTTAGGAAACTCCTCTCCAGTAGTATCCCAAGTCTAAAAAGATTTAGGAGTCCTGGTGCTCCATGATTTAAAGTCTTACGCTAACTGTGACAAAAATGCCTTCCGAGCAAACCTTGCAGTGGTAACGTTGAAGCGCATTTTTGGACAGTTTGACGGAAGAACTTTACATATAATCTTCAATAGTTTCATCCGTCCCCATTTAGAGTACGGAAACATAGTACTTCCTCCCTCACTCCAAAAGGATAAGGACACTTTGGAGCGTATCCAACGGCGAGCCACGGAATCAGTTCGAGGACTCAAATTTAAACCTTACGAAGAGCGCTTCCATTCACTAGACCTTTACCCATTAGAGTATAGACGTCTTAGAGGTGATCTATTAGTGGCTTATAGTATTCCGCGAGACTCTAATTTAGCGACGACCTTTGAACGAATCTTAAATGACCTTGACAATTATTAGCCAATCAGAAGACAGTTAGTATAAAGTGAGAATATATTGTAAGTAATGAATTACAGTGGATATTCTTCTTTTACATGATTTAAAAAGTTGTTAAGGTTTGATAAAGGTTCAGAGGCTCTGAATTCATAATGCATATTGTATAGAAACTTGTCCATAGGGTTAGTGGTTAGGGTTGTAGCCTGTCAATAGACACCTCTTCTCTAAAATCCGATGTAAGCCGACCGCATGTTAGCACCCTAATCCTAACCTAACCCTAAACCCTAATCTAACCCTAATTTTAACCTAACCTTAAACCCTAATCTAACCCTAACCATAACCCTAAACCCTAATCTAACCCCAAACCCTAACCTTAGCCCTAAACCCTAATCTAACTCCAAACTCTAACCTTAGCCCTAAACCCTAATCTAACCCAAAACCCTAACCTTAGCCCTAAACCCTATTCTAACCCTAACCCTATGGACGAGTTTCTATACAATATGCATTATGAATTCAGAACTTCTGAGCCTTTATCAAACCTCAACAAGTTTTTAAATCATGTAAAAGAAGAATATCTACTGTAATTCATTACTTTCTTGTAATATATATTTTCACTTTATACTGTCTTCTGATTGGCTAATAATTGAAATTGCTCAAACGCTTCTCATTGGCTCGTCCTTAAATTAGAGTTTCCCCATCCCATCTGTTTTAACCTCTCATTAATCACCTCCTCTCTAAAATCCGCTGTGAACCGACCGTATGTTAGCAACGCGTATTGAACTTGGCTCCGTGACCTTAAAATTGCTCAAACGCTTCTGATTGGCTCGTCGCTAAATTAGAGTCTCGCCTAGTATTCTTAACACTTCTGGACATTCTCTTAAACACCTACTTAAGCTTAGTTCGAACACTAACCTAAGAGGTAACACCCAGAAACTGTAGACACAACATGGCAGAACGGACTGTAGACACAACTTTTACTCCTTAAGAGTTGTCAAATGCTGGAACTCGCTGCCGGCCGAGCTAGTCCGAGCGACTTCCCAGGAGTTCTTCAAGAGACAACTTGACCTATTCTTAAAGATCAAGGACAGCGTTATATTATGATTTACCAACTTTTTTTTCCTCTTTTATTGTTAACATACCTAGGTGCCTGCCTGGAGGATTTGGTGGTCCATTGCTAATAGACACGGAAGCCTGTTAAGCGAAAGCTTCTTCTATTCCGTCCACAACCATTTGAACCATTTAGCGAAAATCGAGAAATCAGTTACATATCTGAGTACAGTGTAACAGATTGGTTTATGGAATAAATCCACGCCAATGCTGCTTTATTAGACTTGAATTTCTTCGAAAAATCAGACGCATTATTTATGTAGAATTTAGTTTTTCTAAAGTGTCGGTTTATGTTGTGTAGATATGTTTCTACTTTAAGAACTACATTAGTTGCCGTTTTTTATATATGGGTTTGTATTTTGCTATTGCCAATTTATATCCGGCGCTTAAACCGCGTAAGTGGGCACGGAGGATCTACCTATTGGGGTTGTGAAACCCTGATCTCGAACCAATGGTGGGCACGAGCCTGAGGAACAAATGGCATCTGAAACTGTTCTTGTTCACTGGTTATTATGGAACCGCATTAGACGTTATTCAAACCTGTGGGCCAAAATCTCGGGGTGAGGTGGTCCCCTAAGTAAACCATCTGCTTCAGTTTGAGCAACTAGGCAGCATCCCAACACAATCTCAATGATTTGTGTGGTTCGTATATACTTTGATGCCCCTTTGCACCAATGTTTATGTGTTTAAATAAATAAAATAGATATCAATTAGTGTCCTTTTCTGTTATTAAAGACATGTGTTTTGAACCAATGTTGTTCACTAGTTAACAAGCACACCATTTTCTGATGTCCACCTGTAGATTAAATTGCTGCCGAATAAATGAGCATCAAACCATGCCTACGTTGAGTGAACAGGTATGTTTGGTCTTTGGGCAATGGTAATGATAATTTTTTTTAGATAGTTATACAAGAAACTGTCCAAAACGAATTGAAACAAACTATTCCCTCACAGGTAGCCTAACTACTTGATTTCCTGTTTTAACCACTCTTTTCGTAGCCTATATACGAACGTTTCGGCGGCAATATCTTTCTTCCTGTTTCTCGTACAAATGCTTTAATCCAGTGTGAAGGTATTAATATGATTGCTTAACTAAACAAGTAATTATTTTGTAGAAAAACTTGTAAGGCTGCGTAAAAATTCATCTGAGTTAAAGACGGATAAGGACTAATGCACGATCATTATTATTTATCAGTCTTCTGAAAGAATAATAACACAAGAGCATGTTACTTTTCTAATTATGAAAACGAAGCTTTATAATTAAATGAATAATTTATATGTTCATCTTTCTGATTACTTTCATGTATTACTTACTTACTTACGCCTGTTACTCCTAATGGAGTATAGGCCGCCGACCAGCATTCTCCAACCCACTCTGTCCTGGACACTTTCATGTATTACCAATGATAAATATGTATAAGTTCTTTTCGTAGACTAGACAATTCATAATATCAGGTAATAACGAATTATCTGCAAAATACACGAAGAAGTGATACAGGGCAGGAAATTCGACTTGTCAGGTGCTTACTATTACTATAGGAAATAAATGAAAAACCTCCGAAGACTCTATCAAAACAGAAGCATTAGTATTTTCCAAACTTTCTGTGTATTGAGAGAGAATAGATCAAATGGTCAACTGAATATATCCGGATCATTGTCAAGTTAACTATTGCTTTAAAAATGTTGAATATGAATTTCACATATTGTCTTTACGCAATTATTTCACAACCGAGTATACAGGTTTACGTGGCTATAGACATAACTAGTCTTTTTAAAGTGAAATAATAAAGTGGGGAGAGTTTTGAACCTGTTACGCATACCGGTTGAAAGTCATCTAGTGGTCTAGATTGCTGACTCCTAACCACTGATGTTGAGAAGAAATATAAGCCAATTTAGTTATAAGATTACATAATCTTATCGATAGAGGTAAGATAACATTTGGGGAAAAAAGACCATATAGTATATGTGATCTAATTGAGTCATTTTCTCATCTTCTATCTTCAAAAAAATGTTCAGAAGTAGTACTAACAGGTGAACACCTTAAGTAGACGAAAGTAATGCAGTAAAATTTAAATGTATAATTAGTCAAGACAGTTATTATTTGGTGAGAAGTAACTTAATGGTGAATTAAATCGATTTGTGTGCTAGGGAATTCGCAACATGCGAGACGTAGTTTAAGCAGCAAAATCCGACTAAAAGCCTCCTTGAGATCCTGCTGGGTAGTGAGGGTAATCTCACGATCTAACTTGGGCGTTCGGAGGATATCGAATTAGTCAACCACTCCATATGCTGTAACTTCGGTGGCCATTCATCAAGGTAACAAAAATCATTTACGACTGTCCTTTATATATATATATATATATATAGATAGATAGATAGATAGATGTAAGTCTAGACCTGTACCATTGTGGTATGTAGGTGTACGCAACGATCCAGAAAAATAGTCTGCCTTACAGCAAAAAATCGGCCTAATCAGAACAAAAAACAGATCTGTAAAATAAAAATAGTGAGTAGCACATACAAGTGAAGGGAGTGGTGATCATTCTCCCACCCAAGTAACGCGTGTGCCTATGTGTATGCCAAGTGATGCATAAGTGGAAACATGTGTTACCGGTATGCATCCAACGTATACTTGACCCAAGCACCACGATTTCCCCTAAAAACATACTTGTAGCGGATATGTTTGCCTTATAGTCTGATTTTCATTTATCAGAAAAACCAACAGGCTTTACCTCAAAGGGCTTGACCAACTTCAATGTGATTAGTACGTCACAATAAGTGAAAGTTAATTGAAGTGAAATGGAGGAGTTAGGCGAAATAGCACTCAGTTCTTAATTCATTGGAGTGTGAGTAATCTAAAATAACTGGTGTCCTGCAACCGTCTATGTCAATTTATCACATTTATATTATAATAATATAGCGTTTGAGCGTGTTATTTTATTAGACAAAAAACCTATTCTTCTGGCTAATGGTCTTGTCATATAATATTGCATTATTTATTTATTTTTGCCAATAATTTGGTATAGTGAGCAAGGATCATTCAGTCATATTGTATCAATGGATCTCACTTATTGATCAGCACTGTACTCATTTAACAATTCCTCGGAGTTCTTCATGACGAATAATAAAATCCTCCTGCGTAACATACATATCAAAGTCAACGAGGTCGCCTAATCGTAGTAACCACCTATGACGTCTTCAAAAGTTTACAGTCTAAAACGATTTGTAATATAAGTCCACAATTTCTACCAAACTTTTGTATAAGCGTGGCATTTACGACCGACTGATCATTGAGTAGGGACCGACGTCCAATCTTTCATTGCTGGTTTAGTTCTATCGACCAAGTCGCAATATGAAGATTAGCCTAATTACTATGAAGTTCGTTCGAGTGCCAAATAGCACGAGGCTAGTGATATTATCCACCACTATTCCAACTGAAGTGGATGAGTTGGTGTTTTATGAATGCTGAACACGATTCAATCATAAAATCGCGGCTCTACAATGTTCTAAACCATCTTTGACATGAATACAAAAATAAACACATCAATGTTAAGTTGATAATCAACAAAACAATAGCACAACGACAAGTCAATCAGAGTCGAGAAAACAACTGTCAAGCGTTTGAGCTAAAGTTAGAGATAAGTGATTTATCTTATTTCGCGCAAGATAAGTTGTACAAGCACTTCTGTATAGCGCTGAGAGGGTTAAATATGGAAACCGGAAATTACGATTTTTATGAAGTGATCGTATTAAATGCTGAAGTTTTTGTATGTAGGATGTACATATCCAGCCAATAATCCTAAATCTTGACCACAATATCATAATACCGATCTTAATTCTAATTTCCTAATTTTAACCGTAAGCTTTCAAACTCTATGGCTATCAAGTATTTGTACATTAGGGCCCTAACTTCTAATCTTAAATTGTAAAATTGATTCCTTAGCCAGGAAGAATTTGGGAAATTCAGAAAACCTATTTGGGTCTTTTTGAGGGCTCGAAATAGGATCTTCATACTGACGAATTTATATGTCGTTGTGTTTCAAATTTACAGGCATGTTAACCTATGGGAGACAGTGATAAAATTGTTAGTTGTATAAGATCTGTTTACACTTTGTAATATTATTTGTTTTCTTTCTCATGAACTATCCATTTACAAAAGGTGTTTTTAAAAAAAAATAATTTTGATCAGCCAAGAACTGGCTGACGATTTGTCGTTCCTATACTCGTAGCTAAATATTTCGTTATTGAACAGCTTAATACACATGTTCACCCTTTCCCTATGTGCATTTATTAGTTAATTACACCATTAGCCACCATCTATATCTGCTAAGAAATGCTTGTGATATGACCATATCGAAGCAATCCGTACAGGATGTATATATATATATATATATATATATATATATATATATGCCAAAAGCAGACTGACTAATTTCAGATCTAAACACCAATGGGGAAATGAAAACAACCAATACAAATGAATTAAGCTTCACCTCATTACACAAACCAGTCAATCAGCTACAACGTAGGACCAAGCACATATATGCAACGGTCCAAGTTGCCATACCTCATTAACACAACAAGATGGACACCGGATTCATAGTAGTTAATTCAGTTGTCGTAATATATAAAAGATTGCATATAAGGATATAGTACTGGGAGAAAGAAAGATATGAAGCGATCCTAATCTCATGGTTTGAGGGAAGACAGAGAGTGTATACATCTACGCCATTGTGATTGATTCTGAGCCATGTCACCCAGAGTCTCCAACCATTGGTTATGATAGTCACGCGGACTCCAACTAAGTAGTCTGCATCTACCAACATGGCTCAGACTAGAAGTTAGTGACTTCAAGCACTGATGCCGCCCCTAATTTTCTTCTAGCCATCCTCAACAGTAATCAGTATTGCACGTCATGATAATCGGTGTTCAGGTATACGTAACAGGTGGCCAGTGGCTATTTTAACTCAGTAGCTAAGTAGATGACGCGATATTTAAAGTGAACGGTACTTGGTAAACATCAATCTTGGCATATGACAAGTACATCCAGCTGACACTGGACTCTACTACTAGCCACCATTCATTTCTGCTTATAATACTGGTTAAATATATCATTGGATTTATACTTTTGTTGATCTGTAGATGATTTTGCACCACAGAGTGTAACAACTTGCGATAACGAAAACACTGAATATAACATAAATGAATATAACTCTCTCAACTATCAAATAATAGTATATTCATTTATTGTATGTAAATATATATATATATAAAGAGAAATTGTGTAGAAAGGTGTTTACATAAAGGAAAAAACCCTCTTTTCATTCATTCATTCATTCATTCAATAAAACTGTTCTTAAATCATTAAAATTTCAAAAAAGGTGACAAAACAATCATGTATAATACAAACAATAAAATGATTCATAAAAACAAATAAAAAGGCTAAGAATTAAGATGATGATGATGATCATCATCATCATCATAATAATAATAAAGAATAAATACATCGATCAAATGCACAATTGAAATGTATTTTATTCATTTACATAAAAAAAACATGTTGACATAGTGACAATAATAATGGATAGTAATTCTTTGTTTATTGATTGAGTGTCCCAAGGTGAAAAAAAAAGAAAGAAAGAAGCACACCTTTAGCCCTCCCCCGCGCGCTCATTGATTTCACATTTTATTAATGAAATAAAATACAAATTCTCTTTTTATAAATGATTCTCTAACAGTTAAAAAAAATTGAACAAGTTCCAATGAAGGAGAATATTGATGATTAAGGTTTAGATACAATTCAATGTTGAATTGTTTTGTCTAAGAAGAAAAACAAACTCCAACTGGATAATTGAAATAATAATGGTTACTAAAAAAAAACAACAGTGTTGCTACTTGTAGTTCCCTTTTCTTTTTCTCTTCTCCTTCGATTCCAGTGTCTGTTTTAATGTTTGAAAGGAACGAACAAGTGAGTGAGTGAGTGGGTGCACGTACGTACGCACACACACACACACATATATATATATATAGACCGTTTATGCTGTTATCATTATTCAATGGTCAATAATTGAAGCAATTCAGTTTCTTATTTTAAAAGAGTTGAGTAACAAAAAGGAACCCCCAGGTGAAAAAAAGAAGAACAAGACTAGATAGAAAGAAAATAAATAAATC